GGGCTCTCTCTCTTTTTGTGTGCTCTGTCTTCCACCACAATGGAGGTGTCTAGAATTTTCCTCTTCTTGGTCTTGTCCATGCTGAGAGAATTGCATCTCGTTGCTATTTGTATTGTAGAGATTCTCTCCTTTCTGTTTTCCGGAGTCTCGATTGAAGTGTTTGTTGTTTCATTCCAACTCAGGTCTACTGTGATCGAGGCTCTGCGGCCTTTTCCCTGTCCTGTGGTGGTTCCTTGTATCCCCTGTCTCTTTTCTTCTTCCCTTTCTCTTTCATCTTTTTCTTTTTTCAAAATTGCTCCCATCTTTGTTCCCACAAGTTTCGACGAAATGAATATCGAATGCGGCAGTGTACCCTTACCTTATCAAGGCTATATTCCCCGCCGGTTCGCCTGGTCCTCTATTTGGGCATAGCTCGCGACACACTCGACCTGTGCCATGTATCCTTTCAGCGCGATGGTGCTACACCCTCGGATTGGTCGGTGTTTGGGAGTTAGAAGTGAGATTGGAAAGAGACACCCCCTAGCCCTCGAATAGCTCTAATAGCATCGGGGGCTGGAAAAAAAGAGTTGATCATGAGAGATCTAGATAGGAAAGAAAAAAGCAGGGATTAGACCCAAGACAAGTTGAGGGAAGGTCTAGATCCAGCTAGGGTGCCTCGGGAATGCCAGTGAGTTGAGCTTTCCTTAGCAGTTGCCCCCACCCCCCCCCACCCCTGCATGTATTGCGCCCTTACCGCTCTTAACAAAACGGAAGCAACAATCAGGAATTTATAAAACTATGCTGTTTCTTATTTATTTTATTGACCTATTCACCTTTTATTCTTTATCGTAAGTCGTCATTGTCCGCAAATGCCCCGGATTTTTTCTACTTTTTTAAGGCGTCCGGAGACGTCCAAGAGGATTTTTTGAAGTTATCCGTGTTTAATTGTTTTTGAAGGTTTAGAATAAACTTTTTTGGGCGTGGCACCCGGGTTCCAAAAGCAAACAAACAATATAGAGTTTCGCAAAATTATCTTATTCATTTGTTACCCCCCCCCCCCCCCAAATAGAAAAAAATATCGACGCCCTTACATAAACCAAACATCTTATTTATCTAATTAAAATGCCTCAAAATATAAATTTAATTGTTTGACTCCCCCGCCCCGCGAGGCTGGCTACGCCCCTGAACACACTCTATAAATCATATTATCCGTGCGTTCGTTATTTTGGTCTGAGTTCTCCGAGCTTGACTTTACCGTTCGTTTATTTAAAAAGTGTACTCGGTGTATCCTTATTCGCGTTCGTTTATTAAAATTTCCGGCACTTTTATACAGCGTTCAACTGCTCTGTTCGCTCGCTGGTCACGTGATTACGGCTCCGCTCAGCACGCTCTGCTCTTCGAGCAAAATACCGAACGCAAGGTATGATTAGGATTTGTACCCATATTTTATAAAAATCCCAAACTTCCCATATTCCTTACGCTTATTGACAATAAGGTTTATAAATCATAAAGGGTGCGACTTCGCCACATTTGCAGTAGGTACTCACATCGGGGGTTCCGAGAAATGACCTGCCAAATACGAAGTCTCAGCCCTCTAGGGATTGAAATAACAGAGACAGTCCGTAAAACCTGTATGTTGTAGGTATTCATTGATCTAATACAAAAATTCGATGCACTAGAATTCTGAACAATAGAATTTAACCTTGATGGATAGTCGTATGAATAAGGGATGTTCATCAGAAATTTCTAGTAGAGAATTGTCTAGACATATATTATTTTTGTGGTTTAACACTTTATACCTATTGAAAATACTTAACGGTATAAAATGCAGGGTGTATCAGGTTTGAGTAATATGGCCCATTTCAAGCTACACTTTTCCTAGTAACCATGGGTCAATTTTCGGAGTTATCGCAGAATTTAAGTGTGTACAGATATTCATTCTGCCGGGGACGACTGAGATAAAATGTGAACAAACTTTTGGCAAATTGAAAAAAAAAAGGTGTTTTTGCAACGTGTTTATTTTCGCCTGTTATTATTCGCTTTTAAAGGGCCCCATACACTACGATGAAACACGACGGTTTTCATCGCCACGATGAAACACGTCGTTCCAAAACCGAAGTGTGTGGTAGAAAACCGTTCGTGTGTACGAAATGTTGAACCTTTGTGCCAAAACTGCCAAAAATCAAGCTCGGACTGAATTTTAAACCGACGATGAAACACGGTTTTCTACCACACACTTCGGTTTTCGAACGACGTGTTTCATCGTGTCGATGAAAACCGTCGTGTTTCATCGTAGTCTGTAGGGCCCTGTAGAAAATCGTCGTGTTTTTCTATTACACACTTCGGTTTTAGAACGACGCGTTTCATCGTGGCGATGAAAACCGTCGTGTTTCATCGTAGTGTATGGGGACCTTAATGCAGTCTAGGAAAATAGTCAAAAAATACATGCATTCCAAAAAAAAAATCCTACCCAAATGAACTTTTCAGGGATGATAGGGGGCGGGTGGGTGATCATAAAACCGAAAATATCAAACATTCACCCCTCTGGCGTTTTGCGCTATAGGGGTTGAAAGTGCGCCATTGGCGATTACTTGGCACCTATTGCTTTTACAAAAAAATGTTTCAAATAAAAGATGTGCAACATTATTTAATCTACAATGTTTATCCAAAGACTTTTTTGATTAAGGGCTGTCTGTGGTCATAAGGGCCGTTTGAAATTTTATAATGAAAATGAAAAATTTTACCCAATGTGAAAAAAATTTCTACAACACATACAACATTTTTGCTTCATGAAGTTTTCACTCACCCTCTGCCGTTTTTCAATAGGGGTAGTTTAAAGTTTTTTAATTTTTTTACAAAAAAATTTTCTTAATAAAAGTTTTATAAGATTACATTTCCTACAATTTTTCCTTATCAACTTTTTTATAACTCACCCCCATTCAGCGGGGGAACACTTCCCTTAGGTAAATTTTAGTTTTTAGGGGTATATATTAATTTTTTTTTCTTTTCTCGCCTTTAGTGCATATAAAAAGTTGCAATTAACATTGTACATATTAAAAGGATTTTTTTTCCACCACCTTTTTGTTTTTAGGGGTAGTTCGCCTATTCTCAACTTTACAAAAAAAAATTATAAAGAAAAGGTGTTCAAAATAATAAAATGAACATGTTTTCTTAATAATTTTTTTTTGTAAAGTTGAAAATAGACGATGTACCCCTAAAAACAAAAAGGTGGTGGAAAAAAATCCTTTTAATACAATGTTAATTGCAACTTTTTATATGCACTAGAGGCGAGAAAAGAAAAAAAAAATTAATATACATATACCCCTAAAAACTAAAATTTCCCTAAGGGAAATGTCTTCCCGCTGAATGGGGGTGAATTACAAAAAAAGTTGATTGGGAAAAATTGTAGGAAATGTAATCTTATAAAACTTTTATTAAGGAAATTTTTTTTGCAAAAAAAATAAAAAAACTTTGAACTACTTACCCCTATTGAAAAACGGCAGGAGGTGAGTAAAAACTTCATGAAGCAAAAATGTTGTATGTGTTGTAGAAATATTTTTCACGTTGGTGGAAATTTTTCATTTTCATTATAAAATTTCAAATGACCACAGACGGCCCTTAATCAAAAAAGTCTTGACATAAACATTGTAAATCAAATAATGTTGCACATCTTTTACTTGAAACTTTTTTTTGTAAAATCAATAGGTACTAAGTAATCGCCAATGGCGCACTTTCAACCTCTATAGCGCAAAACGCTAGAGGGGTGAATGTGTGATATCTTCGGTTTTATGATCACCCACCCGCCCCCTATCACTAACCCAAATTCATTTGGATAGGAATTTTTTTTTCTGAAAATCGACAATTTTCCTACACTAATGTAAATAATAATTTTTATATATCAAAACTCTTTGTTGAAATCAGCTTTGTTGGATGCTATGTAGATTTTCTTGTGCCCAGTGTCCAGGTGTGAGTGTTGTGATAATTTAAAATTCCATCTCTTGTAAAGCAAAACTTATCTGTAGATATAATAGAGTGGACAAGTATGGGCAGTTTTTGATAAAAGAAAATGTTCACATTTCACCCCTGAAATTTCGGATCGAACAGGTGGAAAGTAGCTGTATATTTTTTTTTGTGTTTCTTATATTTACTTTACTGCCTGGTTTAAATTTCAACCTGTCAGTATGGACATTTTTTGTGAAAAGTAAAATAATAATATTTTACCGATCATTTCACCCTTATAATTTCACCTATATCATTTCAAAGTGATCGGAGAGGCGGAGGGTGGCGATATATATTTTTTTTGTTTTCCTAATATTCACTTTTCAACGCCAGGTATCGGTATAAATTTAAATATCCCATTACCTATGGGCAGTTCGTGAGGAAATAAAACGAATGAAGCAACTTGGCTTGTACCCGCTTGCCGTGTTGCCAAATTATAAATTATTTTCTTATGAATAATATTATGTTATTGGGGTTCTATACAGGGTGTTCCGAAATTAATGCACAAAATTATATTATATTCTACGTCAAAAATAAGTCCTAGTTTCCTATATAAACATATGTTCGGAAACGCTTCCTTTCCGAGATACAGGGTCTTGAAATTCTAAGATAAAAACTATTTATATAGGAAACTAGGGCTTATTTTCGACGTAGAATATGCCATACAAATTTGGTGCATCAATTTCGGAACACCCTGTATAATTTTAATTATTCGAATTTTTAAACCAAACAACTTCTGTGTTGAATTTTTTTTCTATGTATACTGACTCGTATCACACGATAACAATATACAGAGTGTTTCAAATTCGAGCCACATCATTGGGATCTCCGAAACGGTGAGAGTTGGTTAGATCACACATCTTCAACCGCTTTTGCAAGTTGTGAAATTCAAAAAACATGCCTTTTCTCTGCGCCACCTTGTAATTTCTATCTGTGAAGACAAAAAAGGCTCCACGAATGGAAAATTCAAACTGATAAAAACACATTTTGGTGATTTTTACTAAATATGTTTTTTATTGCAGTGACTTCTTCGGCAGAGAATCGCCTCTCACTTACCTTACCTGGCCCTGGCGAGCTTCTACCCCGCATAGCCGAGGAGAAAGATTCTCCAACTGGGGGACAGGACTGTTCCAAAGAGAAATGTTCTGAAGGTAAAGAATCTACAATAGAAAATAAAAGCAAGAATAACTCTCATAATGATCAAGAAAATAAAATACAAACCAAAAAATATCAAGAGGTTGAGAAAGAAATAACCAAAAAGGTGAAGGATTTCATTAAGGAGGCAGAAAGTAAAACAAATATAAAAGAAAAAAATATCAAGAAGGAAAAAGTTGCTCCACATTTCAGTGAATCGACACCAAAATATAATACCAATATTAACTCTCAAATTACTAGTTCAAAACTAGATGTTAATAAAACCAATGAAACAAGTATTATTCATAATAAAAATTTGGAAAAAAAAGATATACCTAAAGTTTCAACCAAGCCAGAAAAGGAAAAACCGCATCAGAACAGTTCAGAAATTAGAGATAAAAAAGACAGAGATATTTCACACAAGACTCAAACAAAAAATGAACCTACCACTTCAGGCTTCAAGAGTAATAAATCTGAAAAAAAAGAGAAATTTTCAGCTAAAGCAGAAGAAAAAGATAGCAAAAGTTGCAAAACTAATAAGTTTTGAAAAATATTTTATTTCTATCTTATATTCAGATCTTGTGTGTAACCACTTAATGTAGTTAGTTTCAATTTTATGATGTTTTTTTTTTTTCTGTCAGTTATGTTGTAAAGACTGACTAATGAAATTTATGAAATATTAAATTAACTAAGCCAGTCTTTTTGTTTCTATATTGCTGCTGTTTGTTTTTTAAATGTTGATTGTTTATTGTAGATTTTTTTTCCTCAGTATGTACTTAAAAAAGTTACTGCTCAATGGAGTAAAAATACATGGTTATTTATCAATTTTTTTTGTATGTTTTTTTTTTAATTGTATCAAAGTAAATAATCTTAATGTGATGTTTTAGGTGTAAGTTTAAATTTTAATCATCTTTTAAATAAATTAAAAAGGCTGTTTGGATGTTTTCGCGTTTTAAATTATTCTTGTAAATTAATTTATATATTTTATCTTCAAGGTTTTTTTAATATTTCAATTTTTTTTTTTTTTAAATTGTTATCAAAGTAAATAATCCTAATGTGATGTTTTAGGTGTAGGTAACTTTAAACATCTTTAACATAAATCACAAAGGCTGTCTGGATGGTTTAAAATTGTATTAAATTATTAATTCTTTTAAATTAATTTATATATTTTATCTTTAAGGTTTTTTTTTTACATAATTATAGGATATGTATCTATTTACCTGAACGATTCGATCTCATCTAAAAATTTTAATTTCAGTTTGATAATTTTATCAGTGATTGTTTTACTTAAATTATTCCCAAGTCCTGAAATAGTGTATTTTACAAATAATTATATTTTTGGAGGTATGTTTGTAATAATATAATGTCGCTGTGAACCTGGAAATATGGGAGAATCTAACTTAGAATCGGTATCGGTAACACAGATTACGACATTATATCATTATGTGATATTGACCAATTGTTAAATACATATATCACAGAATCTCAGTAAAACTTAATTGAAAAATTATTGTGTTTCATTTTAAATAACATTACACGGGGCACTATTCGTGGTAAACCGAGCGCATATTGTTTGATTTTATGGTTGGATCAATATATTATGATCTCTGATTGCAATAAAATTGAATTGTTACCCAGCAAAAAAAAAAAAAACGAGTAAAACTTTGGATCACTTGTGGCCTGTGGCCTATTAGTATCAATCAAAACAAGAGATAAATTCAATAAACAATGTACATTTAACATTATTTAAGAGTCATTCCAGATGAAAACTTAACATGAAAAAAACATGTTCAATATGTTACTGATAAAATCAGGAAATTATTATTTGAGTTTTATGAACTTGGGACTTAGGCGAGGCGCTCACTGAAATAACGTGGCTTATGAAGTGGCGTGTGATCTAGCAAGTGGTACACATTACGTTACGTGCTACTAAATGCATGTTATTTGCCTTGTCACTTCAGTGGGCTCTTGCTTATTTGTTTAGTGGATAAGCAATGAGAGAACTGGCGGAATTTTTCCATGTAAATCTCCATAAGAAAATCTAAGGTCCCCGCTATTTTGATTTTGGACCAAAAAAGAGTAGGGCGTGAAATTAGATACGCTCTTGAAGAAGCCTAACCCAAACGGTAAAATTAGACACGTTCTTGAAGGGGCCTAACCCTAGTAGCAAACCCCAATTTGAAGAGGCCTAACCCAAGTGACGTCAGCAAAGGGGTAAGTTATAGGGGGCGGTATGTGTTTTGCATTATCCGTCAAATGTCACCTGTCATTATTGACAGCTCGCCAATTTTCGAAGACTGTTCCAAAATTTGGTTTTTCACAACTTGTTACCCCGTACAAGATGACAGGTACCCCGTGACTTGTTACCTCATAACCCATACAAAGTAGCTCGTACTGATGATGACGTAATTAATAATGGAAAACATCTACCTAATCATTTATAAAGTCCTAATTTTTCGGCAAATCGCGCGTGCTGCTAAACCCACGGGCCCATTTTTCGAAGTCCCCCACGCCATTTACACATGAACTCATAACCCAAAATTTGGTGCCTAGTGACTTGTTACCCCGTACAAGGTACCTAGTACTGATGATGACATAACTGATAATAGAAAGAAAGTACCTATCGTTGCTCGATAAACGGAAAATATTGAAATAATTTATCTCCAAATACTATAGAAGTCCCGTATACTGGTACTGTGCGAACCCCATTTTTGCAAACCATAAGATACCAACCAAACCGTCTACTATTAATCCGTTGGGTCGTTTTAGACGCGACAAGTTTAGTGGACACATTTTTTTTCAGCTATATTACTAATAGGTACCTACCCATTATCCAATTATTATTTAGCCCTAAGGGTTGAAAAAGGGTGTTACCAAAAATTTTAAAAAAGTACCTAACTATATCATAACTCTGCTATTTGCGCACACCTAACACTATCAAGGGACTGTCAGAAAACCGGTTTTTGGTCATCTGCGCATGTTTCCCAACTGCCTTATACTATTTTCTCAAATAATTCGCGATCTAGCAGTCCGATTCAAATAGGTAATTATTTCGCCAAAAATTTCTAAATAATTAAAGGCATATTTTAGACTAAGTTTTAAACATTTGCTCATACGCCAGCATGTTTCCTAAGGGCCTTAATATTTTCTCAAATAATTCGCGATCTAACAGTCCGATTCAAATAATTCTTTCGCCAGGTATTTTGAAATAATTAAAGGTATCATATTCTAGACCAGGTTTTAAATATTCAGGTACTCATACGACAATAAGAACCTGATTCGAATAATTCTTTCATCAGGCATTTGCCGCAAGGTAGGTCCTTAGTACACCCACGTCATACAGGCACTTCGCAACTTGTTATCCCATACCTCGTACTGATAATGACGTAACTGATAATGAAAAACTACCTAATAATTTATGAAGTCTCAATTTTTCAGTACTTCGTAGGTACATACACACTTGCACCTTGCGACTTGTTACCCCGTATACAATGCTAGTACTGATGATGGCATAACTGATAAGGGAAAAATATTTATTAGAATAATTTATCTCCAGAAACTAGAAGTCCCGCCAAGGTGCCTAGTACTGATGATGGCATAACTGATAAGGAAAAAATAGGTAATATTTGAATAATTTATCCGCAAAAACTAGAAGTCCCGCGTACCTACTATACTACGGAAATTTTAAATAAACACGATTACAGCAATTAAATTTTTCAATGATTTCTGAAATAATTAAATGTATGTAGTTATAAATAAATTATTATATGCATAAAAACGGTAATTTTCATTTTAAAGTATGCCGGTTTCATACGAATTTGAGGGGGAAAAACCGGTTGAACGTTGCGGTAAAAGTGTGATACATTGTTCCAATTCCACCCTTACTACCTCAAAACAATCAATATTTGAGACGTTGCGGTAGAAGTGTAAAACATTGTTCCATGAACAGAGTTGGGCCCTTTGTGTAGTTCACTAGAGGGTTGTAAGGCCTCCAAGGTCCGTATCTCTGTGCGTGACGTCCAGGAATTATTGCCTGAAAGTCACTAGTTATCTTGAACCAAGATAACGACTACAAAGCCCTTAGGGAAGAACTTTGGGGATAATTATCACAAATGGCTACTTTGTGTAATTAAATGAGTAGAAACTATTATTGTTTGATACTGGCTTTATTATTCAAATTGATTCTTATTTATATTAAATATTTCAATTTGAACCTAACAATATTTATCATAACTAATAATAATTAATTACAATATTTTTCATAACTTAATAACAATTAAAGGTGTGTTGACTTTGTATCTAAAACACTGGCGCTACGCGGTATCATAACGGAAATTAAGGTGAAAAACCCGTGAACATCGATTCGTGGTTTTTTAGTAACTTTGGGCAAGGTTTGCGATGGGTTTAATTACCTTGCCTTATTTCCTAATAAATTGTGGATTTTATAATGATGTAGAAATTTCAGATTAAATTAAAATTTATGTTGAAATTTCTAATTTATGTTGATTCAACATTCTCCCCTGTCTCGACTGAGTCTAGGTTGCGTAGTGGCTGCAACTCGGGCATTTCAGTTTGTTTTGCTGACTCCGGCCTATTCCTCTGCCTGCGTCGGGTTGCGTTCGTTATTTGTTTTTGAATGACCCATACTAATAATAATATCGCAAAAATTATTGCTGCTGACACTCCAGTGGCGGCGTATGTGTGGGTTTGTATGTTTTTCCAAATTGCCGTTTGTAGCTGTTCCCGAATCTTTTCTTCATTTAGTCTCACTGTATTCAAGCTGTCGGAGATTTTGAAAATTGGCTCTTCTTCGAGTTGTTCTGGTTCGTTATTTTGCGGGACGTCTGTTATGTTGATGAGAATCGCCTTGGAATAACTCGCAATTACTGGAGCGGTGCTTACTCGTCTTGTCGTCAGAGTGTTTTGTTTCGTTTTGACTATGCAATCTTGTTCCACTTGCAGTATTCCACTTTGGTTCAGAGCAATGTCTTCTCTGATTCCCTTGCATATCACTGCTATTTTGGTAGGATTTTTTGTGATGAATAGCCATGTATTAGGCATGTAGAGTTGCTTCCAAACAATGGATGTTAGTCCATTCTTCCGGACTCCGCACCGAGTTGACTCCGATCTTTGATATATTTCGTCAATTATGCAATTCGGATTGGTCTCTATATTTTTCACTGCTGTCGGAGAGCACACATATTTGTTTTGTTTTGTGATGTCGATAGTGAATTCTTGATCGCTTTGCTGGAAATATTGCTGATTATTGTAGTCCACTGCTACTATCTCACTGGGAATTTCAATTGTCCAATATGACCCATTTTCTACTTTTAGTGGCGTGGGCACAATCTTCAGAACTTCAAACTTGGAAATATCTTCGATCATAAAAAATGTAAATATTTTTAGTGATTGCTCGTCCTTTTCTACCTTCGTCAATGTGATCGGTGCTTGTACTATCTTCAGATTTGAGGGTAGTTTTTTGTTTGCTTCTGTGATGATTGTCTTTACGTGTTTTGGCGCTAATAACTCATACAGTGTTGCGTTGTTGTACAGGATTCTGAAGAGTTTCTCGTAGTACTCACATAGTTCGTCGAGGTAGTTGTTTGCTAGATTGTATGCACTCAACAGATGAATATTCAACGAGTTGGTATCGACGGCGCTATACCAGTTTTTCATTGCATTTACTGCCTCAATGCCTTGATTCAATTTTGTTCTGAACTGTTCCAATTGACGTTGGATGCGAACTTCTGTCTCGTTTATTTGTGAAATGGCACTGATCATTACTTTGCTCTGATGGTTGGCTGCCTTTATAAGTTCATCTTGATTCGACTGCAAGCTGCTGATGTCTCTGTATACCTCGTCGTTTACTCCAAAGACTGAGGTAAGTAGTTCTCCAAATAATCCTCTTTTCCTGCGGGTTCCTGCTATTTGCATACTCTCTTTCACAAGAAGAATCTCTTTTTCTCTTTCAATTAAGTGCTTGGACAAAAGATGACACTGGGTCTCCTGGGATAGGGCCTTTGTTTTATTGCACAGCTGCTGGAATTCTTCGATGATTCTCGAAGCATTTGCTACGTCTTCGTTGATCCTTGTTTTGTCTATATTTATTTGTAATCGGAACACCCCTCTGTTTATGCTTGCTACTCCTATATGCTCCACATATATGCCTTTTTGCGGATGATGAATCGTGTAGTTCGCTTCACTGGTAGGTGTCCATATGACACACATTGCTAGCAGGAGGAATTTGCACACTTTGCTCATGCTTCTATTTTTACCGTTGTTTTCTCTCACGGCTTTTTCATTGGCTTCTGGTTTTTCCTGTATTGGTTCGTCTGTTTTTTCTACTGGTAACGGAATCAAGCTGGTTATGGCCCGTTTTAGTGTTGTGTTGCCTTTTCTCAAGGTGACAACTCGGATGAGGTCATCTTTGCCAGGATGTACTTCTATTATTTTTGCTAGCGGCCATTGCCCTGGATTTATGAAGTCTTCTTTTATGATGACGATTGT